GGAGTGCTTCAGAATAAGGCACATGAGCAGGCAAATTCCTAAATAAAAACCAGGCTCAAACTCTGTTTTCTCAGGTATGACTTTAAAGTTATATTAAAAGACCTTTTGGCGGGGGGGAATTTTCAGCTTCAATCCATAGCCCTGGGGTATGGTATGCCTCTAAGAATGGGTTTGCTGTTTGCATTACAGACAGCAGATCCTCTACTGCTCTGGCTGGGCCCTGGCACTCTCTCTCAGGGAGGATGGGGGCTTGGGGGTGCTTCTCCTGCCCTCATTGAGATAGGATCATCCCCTTACCCCATTAGAAGGGCTGGCAGAGGCACTGGCAGAGAGGACCCTTCAGTGCTGCAGCAGACACGAGCCTCTGGGCACCTGGTGTCCACTTGGTGCTCTACTGCCACAATCATCCACAGGTGATGAGGGACACCTGCTCCTTTGGGGAGTCAAGAGGCATTAGACCAGCTATGCCCTGGCAGGTACAGCCCATGTTAGGCATTATCTAAACAGGATGGATAGTGCAACAGCTGGAGAAATCTGTTAGCTGTCCCTACTGGGCCTTTGGGAACTCGTGGTTGCTCTGGGAGATTTTCTAAATCTGATGGTTCCAAATGCTTTCTCACCCCCACTTGACTCTCTTCCTCTCTGAGGCTTTGGACCAGTATAATGATTTAGGCATTTTCTTCCACTGCCTTCCTCAGGCCCCTGCCTTTTTCTTCCCCAGCTTCTGATACATCTACCCCAGACCCCCGCTCACCTTCACTCTCATTTTCACTCCTCTGTGTATATCTCAGAGGTCCTGGTGCAGCTTGCCTTGGTCTGGTGTTTGTTTTCTGATGATTCCCAGAGACTCAAGTCAAGACAAAAGCCTCATTCTGTCAGTCACTGTATGAATACATGATTAGGCACATTTCCCGCTCCAAAGACCTTTTGATCTAAACCTGCTGGTTTGATTTCATGACACTAAATTCCTTTCCCAGTTTGGCTCTCATCCTTTTCTTGCCCCTAAACTGACAGCAATTTTATTGCAAACAAGCAATTTCCCAGACAAAGCTACGGTCTCTTTCACCCATACGTTCCTACTTATTCTGGGTTCTTCTTTCTACCCCAAATTATCTCTGCTGTGCTATTCCAGCCAGCCCTTTAAGATGCATTTGTGGCTTACAGTCCTCTCATTTTCCAGCTCCTTGTTACCTGAGGGTTCAGCAGGAACTGTCCTCTCTGCTCTCATTCAAAGGGAAAGATGAACTCTGCTGCTGGGGCATTTCCTGAGCTCACCACGGAGAGGGCAGCAGCCCCACCATGGTGTGTTCTTGCAGTGGACACCAATACCATCATCTGTGAGCACCTCTGCAGATCAATGGATTCCACAGCAAAGACAAGAACAAAACAAAACCAGAGAAGTGACTCACACCCGTGCCCAGAGAGATAAAGGAAGAGAGAGAGGGAGATGGAGAAACACCACAAACTCATCCACCTGAGGACACAGAGGTCGTGTGAGCCAGGGAATGAAATAAAATGGACTTTTCTGAGGGTGGCTGGGCAGGAGAGGTTTCTGTTTGATTATTTTAATTCTTCCAGGCTACCTCCCAGGGTCAAGTCACCTAATTTTATTCCAATAATGAAAGTAGTCTATTACAAAAAAGGACAACACGTGATTATTTTTTTCTCCATCCAGTCCAATGAATTGGTTTTGGTGGCCAGTTTGAATGCTATTTTGACCACTTGAAAGGTTTTATATAAAACACCTGGTAATTTAAGAGCCTGTTTCACCAGGAGAAAACCTCGGTTGTCCATGTGCCTCCTGCCTTGTTGTAAACTAAAAGAATTAAGAACACCCTAAGCCAAGATAAATTTGAAATACAATTCTCCTCTTATTTGAATCAAAAGGCAGTATTGATTATTTAATTACATAGAAATGATCCACATGCTTAGCATTTACTACAGATTAATGACTGTCCCAGAGCAGTTAATGGCCCTTCTTGCTACCATCAACAAAAGCTGCTTATTAATCCCTGGAAAATGGCTTGCATTACAATCATAACCTGCTGTTAAAAGTTTATAAATAGATAAAAGTGTCACATGGATTTATGAGTGCTAAGGCTGAATGGGATCTATGTGGTGTTTCTAGTAAATGAATGCCATGTGCATGAGCTCATCTGATTGCTTGAATTATCACAAAATCCCAAGTTGCTCTTTTGGATTGGAAAATGGCACGTAAGAAAGTGCCAAGTGGCTGGAGTCCTATCTACTGACTGGGAAATAATTACTTTGCTGCATAATAAAGAGGCACCTTCGTTCTAACAGCAGTGCTCTGCCTATTTATCCTATCATATAAATGTGTGTAAGGGAGGCTGTGCTGCTTCATTCTTTCACTTTATTTTTAAGAGGAAAAAACCACTTGCACATAGACACACACACCCACACACAGAGCTGAGCCAGGTCTTCCCAAGCACAGCAATGGCTCCAGCAAGTGTAGGGGTCCTACTAAACTAGGATCTGTACTACTCAGACAAAGGTCTTTGAAGGAGCCCTGTGCACCTGGGTCTCTCCATCCCACACTGCATTGGGTAGAACACTGAACATGGTATGTGCTGCCAGCGAAAGGTGATTTTGGAAAACGTGTTGTTCCTGGAAGAGCTGGGAGGGCATGCACACCCTGGGGGAAAGGGTGGTGCAGTGATTTACAGCATGCAGCAGCACTGCATCCCCACCTGTGGTAACTGTGCCCCACCACTGCGGGGGCACTCACACTGTCCCTCCTGCCTGGGAGCTCAGCTCCAAACCACTGTGCAGAGGACCCTGCTGCTGTGGGGTTGCAGAATCCCTGTCCCAGTCACCTGGACAGCAGTGCCAGTCCCTGTCCCCTCAGTAGCCATTGTCCCTGTAGCTAGCTGTCATCAGCTTCCTAACCCCTCTGAATGAGCAGTAGCTGGTTATTGCATTTGAGCTGAGATTAGTAAAAATTATATACACGTACTGCTGTCTGGAACAGCAGAGAAGGTCTGTGGGAGCATCCTGATCCTATCAGGGTTTTAGAGAAGTGGCTTCCTTGTATCCAGCCAGACTGCAGATACTGAGGTAAGAGAAAGATGAGAAATTACTGTCTCCTTCAAAGAATCAGACAGGAGGGGCCTGAGGACCCCTCTCAAATGACATCTTCCAAGTCTGTTAGCATTACTGCCTCTATTTTCTGTTATTTTCAGTGTATCTGTCTTGATCGGGCAAAGAGACATTTCAGTGCAGCACCGGATCACAGAAAGTTGCCCATCGTTAAAAAAGAAGTCACAAGGCCCCTGTCCCTTGCCCCTAACCCCTCACACCGTTCTCTTCTCCTCCAGCACAGGGACTGGGGGCTCGGTGACCCTCCTGGAGCAGCAGCTGGCCGAGGGGCTGGGATGCAGGAAAGGACAGGGCACATGGGTAGGCTGTCACTGCCACTCAGAGGCGTGGGATGTACACATAAGCAAGCAAGCACACTACATAGGAGGTGCTATGTACTACATTGGCAGGCTAGAGGCTGCAGCCTGTAATTTCTCTTCTATGGATTGCAGCCCCTCTAACTCTCTCATTCCACCAGGAGCCTTACTCCCACTGCCCAGCGCTGAGGACATGCCCCTTCCACAGCCTACTCCCGTGATTTTTTCGGTGGGCTGCACCACAGGAGTCATCAGACACTAAACAACGGCAGAGCCAAACTAATTATCATCCCTCAAACTCTTTCTAAATCTGTTTTGCTGTGTTTTCACGACACGTGTGCAGGATTCAGGTGAGAGACGCGCACCGTGCTCTTCATGCGCTCCACCGCGCCGCCTCCTCAGGAGGTGCAGCGCTCCCTTCGCATCCACCGGGTGCCTGTAGCCGGGCAGGACCCTGTCCTAAGCTCAGAGGCTTTGCAGCGCTGAGGAATGCCAGCCCGGCTAGCAGCCCCAGAAAGCTTCCGGGCCCAAGAGCTGAGAGAGGCAAATCTGCCTCCTTGTGCTTGTCCAGGGGCATGGAGCCTTTCAATGTCAATGGCATTCGGCATCTCAAGCCCGGTGCCGGCGGGGCAGGGCTGCGTGGGCGGAGGGGGAGCACGTTCCCGACCGCCTCCCGCCATCCCGGCGCTGTCCCTCCGGCGGGCGGCAGTTCCGTCCGGGCGCTGGGCTCAGCGCGGCGGGCAGCGCCATCTAGCGGGGACGGCATGGGTAACCAGCCTCCCCAAGAGCCGCCAGCGCCCTCGGCCAGGCGGCCCCGGGATCCCCTTCCAGCTGCTTTCCCTTCTCCGGGAACCGCTCCCGGCCCCTGCCTGAAGGATGCTGACAGACAGAAATTAACACGAGTGGCTAAAAGCTTGCATCAGCTCGATGTCAGGCTCGCAGACAGAAAGGACTGGGAAGTCCTGTTCGTTGTGGGAGATGGGGGTGAGCAAAGGGCTGGCACACAGAGCAGGCGAGGAAAAACAGGAAGGAAGGTCCGAAGGAAAGGTTTTAGGAGGGTCAAAACTGATTTTTAAATTAGTATTTTATTCAGGTGTAGATCAGGTGATAGAAGTCTCTTCCTCATCATTTAGGTAATTAAATATCGTCGACTGCAGGTTTTTATGAACAAATGCAGTGAACACCTGCCAAAGACAACACTGTCCTGCCTCAGAGTGCTTTTGCTCTTAAAGGTCTCCTCCAGTTTTTCACCCCACTGGCTTTTCATGGTCTTTATAGAAGACAGCGGAGGAGGCACACTCCTGCTCTTTCATTGAAGGAAACGCTCAGTTACAGACAGAGGAAGGGGCAGGGAAGAGGATGAAGAGCATCCCCCAGAAAACCTTAAATTCCTTATTTACTATCCAGATTTATGAACTGAACAGTAGGTTATTCAGCCGAAGAACCCGGTCTCGCCAGGAGCCCCTTTCCTGTAGTTACGAGCTCCGCAGCACCCGGGTGTTTCGGCACGCGTTTGGGGCATAGGCTCCGGCCGGGCGGTCCCACAGAGCGCGGGGGAAGCTCCGCGCGGCCCGGCCCCGCCCCTTCCGGCGCGCGCGGACATGGCGGCCGTGCCCGAGGAGCAGGTCGGGCCCGAGTCCGGCCCGAAGCACAGAGAAAAGCACAAGAACAAGAACAAAAAGAAAGCGGCGCCAGGTGAGGGCGGGATGCGGGACTGGCGGCTGGCCGGGAGGGCCACAGGTTGAGGGGGGCTCCGTGGGGCGCTGCGGAGGGCACAGGCGGCTGGTGGTGCTTGGGGCCGCCAGCGGCGGTGCCGTGTTGTGGTGTGCCCGCTCTCGGCTTCCTCGCCTCACTTTGTGCCTTGTTCCTGTGTAATATACTTGAATAATCACCTTGTGTATACCAGATCAACAGCGCAAATCTCAACTGCGGATTTCTTCTTTTTTTGGTTTTTTTTTATATATATATAAAGGATTTAAAGCAGTAATTTTTCTAAGGTCAGAAGAGATGCAAACCGCACTTAACAGTGTATTAAATCAATCTTCTTATAACAATAGTTTTGGTTTTTTTTCTTTTTAATAGCAGTTGATGAATCTGAACTTCTCACTGTGCCAGATGGATGGAAAGAGCCAGCATTTACAAGAGAGGATAATCCCAGAGGGCTGCTGGAAGAAAGCAGTTTTGCAACGTTGTTCCCGAAGTATAGAGAAGCATACCTGAAAGAGTGCTGGCCACTTGTCCAGAAAGCCTTGGGGGAACATGTATGAACTTTTAACCGTTTTGATACTACACTTTACCTTTTGGGACATACAGGTCATAATTAAGCTAATGAAAACAGTGCAAGTTGCTTTTCTAATGCCATGTTCATGAATTTCTACTGTGCTTGCCTTTTGAATTGGCAGTGTCATTTTTTGTCATCAAAATTGGTGAAGAACTGTGTAGCCAGACTTGCAGTTCTTTGTAAATGCTGTCAGCACAGTATTTGCAGCAACAAATATCTCATCATCCAGGCACTGACAGCTTTGCTGTGCTTGAATTCAGGGAGATGAGAGAGGTGGTGCTTTGGGCCTTGGACACATATTCAGTCTGGGTTTTGTCTCTGTGTATGTGAATTTTCTTAAGCTAAAAGTCACTCAAGAAATTTTGCAAAATAGATCTACCTTCTGTTAGTTAACTGCTTACTGCCAAGGCTGAATTGTGATATTGATCTGGTGTTTCTTTTCAAATACTGCAGTATGTGAACGCAGCACTGGATCTCATTGAGGGAAGCATGACTGTCACTACCACTAAGAAGACTTTTGATCCGTATGCAATCATTAGGGCTAGAGACTTAATAAAACTTCTGGCAAGAAGCGTTCCATTTGAGCAGGTCTGTAATAAATCCTGAAAGTTTTTATCTATCATAATGCCTATCTTTTGTCTTAAATTCTATCACAATATTATACTTAAATTCAGTCATAATACTTATAAAATAGTACGTTTTAAAAATGTAGGAATTTCAAGTGAGTCAAGTAAAAGAAAATATATATTTAAAGTAAATATATCTGAAAGCAAAGGGAGAAGAATAAACTGAAGTATTCTCTTGATTGCTATGAGTAATACATTTGAATTCAGATGACATTGTCTGCATCTCTTTAGGCAGTTCGTATCCTTCAGGATGATGTTGCGTGTGACATCATTAAGATAGGCTCTCTGGTGAGGAAGAGAGAGACTTTTATAAAAAGAAGAGCACGGCTTCTTGGGCCAAAAGGATCTACTCTGAAGGTATTTCCTAGAGGCATAGTAACCACACAATACTGAGACCCAAATTTGTGTCATGTCTTCATATTATACTAATTTCTTTTCATTTTTGGTGTAGGCCCTGGAACTGTTAACAAACTGTTATATTATGGTGCAAGGAAACACTGTTTCAGCTCTTGGACCCTTTAGTGGCCTAAAAGAGGTAAGATGAGGTAGATGAGCCATTTGTGTAGCAAACAAATTTCTGTGCCCAGCTCGAGGGTGGGTGATACACAAAATCTGGCAACCTCGGCAGTATCTCACTGACTTTTCAGCTGTGTGTAAGCTACATTTGCATGAATGTCCACAGTATTGTCATCTTAGCTGCTGAATTTTGTTTAGACTCCAAGATCTTTCTGTCTTGGAAGAAAAATTATCTGTATATATTTTAATAACTATGTGGGAGAAGAATGCTTGTCAAAAGCAAGTTCCTCATGACACTGTAAGATTCATGGTAACATGAAAATAATGTTTATGGGGCCTGCTGGAGTCTATCAGAAGCAGGACTATAGTATTGGCATTTTTGAAGTGCTGTTCCTTCCAATTAACCCTGTGCTTTAGCTTCTTAAAGACTGGAATCAATGATCTTGGAGATCTTCTCCATCCTTAATGTTTCTGTAATTTTAAATGTTACTACTTTGGGGTGGCAGAGGAAGCACAGTATGTTATAGCTGATATTTTAATTGATTAGCATATGAAGTGCTTGATGAGCTTTCTGTTCTTCTTCTTTTGTACTCAATACAGGTTAGAAAAGTTGTTCTGGACACAATGAAGAATATACATCCCATATATAACATCAAGGTTAGCATGGTCCTCTGTGCATCTTTGTTTACAAGAAAGTGCTATTTCTTCCCAGAGGGTTGTATGTTAAAAAGTTACATGTTTCTGTGTGGTAATCTATTTTGAGAATTTCTGTAGTGTGCTGCTTTATAAAAACCACTGACTTTAATATCCTTTATTTTACTAGGATACGTTGCCATAACACCATAATGGCAGTATCTGCAAAATCAAAGGAAACTTTCTCTTTGATTGTTGGCTTGATACTTGCTCATTTAAACTGAAGCACCTTCTCCTGTGTATTCTGTCCCTGTTTTGAGATGTGTTTCTGGTTCTGTTCATAATTAAGCCCCTCTGCTCTTACTGAAGTGAGATGTGCAAGGTTTGAATGTAGCATATTTCCTCTAAGAAAGTCTAGTAAACTTCTATTTTGGATCTCTTGGCTTCTACTGTAATACCCTTTTTTTAATAACTTCTTTGTGATGTTCTGAAACTACTGAAGACTTTGATGATCAAAAGGGAATTAGCAAAAGATCCTGAACTGAGGACACAAAGTTGGGAAAGATTTTTGCCTAAATTCAAGCGGAAGAACTTGAAAAAGCGCAAGGAGCCCAAGAAGAAAAATACTAAGAAGGAGTACACACCGTTCCCACCTCCACAGCCAGAAAGCCAGGTCAGCTGAATCTTTATTTGGTTATGCAGGAATATAGTACACCTGAAATTGTGTTCTTTGTAAAAAGAGGTGGGGAGGCCTTTTCTGTCATGTTCTGATTCCCTGATACTACAGGTCTGGCTTATAATGCCTAATTAACTAAGGCTTCTTGCTGCTTGTCTTGCACAGATTGATAAAGAATTGGCAAGTGGTGAATACTTCTTGAAGGAAAGACAGAAGAAACGCAAGCAAATGGAAGAGATAAAGGTAAAGTTGTATTGATCCAGGGTCCAGTTAAAAAGCATTTGATTGCTGACTTGGAATCTGATTTTTTTTTGTCCTTTTTTGCCCTGCTCTGTTGCTGCTTGACCTTTTTTATTTTGTAACTTCAGGCAAAGCAAGCAGATGCAGTCAAGAGAAGACAAGAAGAAAGAAATAAAGCTTTTATCCCACCAAAGGAAAAGCCAGCTGTGAAAACAAAGAAAGGTAACCATTTTTTTCCTGTTGCAGAATCTTCTGTTGTCAATTGCTAAGCTGAGTGATTTTGTAAATACAGCCTAGGAAAAAGAAAGATCATGCAAAAAAAATCCTGGTGTTAAGATCCATGCCCAGAGATTGCCAGGGACAGTAGAAAGATCATCTAGCCAATAATTTTATACCTATAAAATGGTAATTCTCCATTGAAGAGTCAATCTCAATTGATTGGTTGAGCTTCATCAATTTTTGCCTTTCAGTTTTACAGTGATGCTGCCATAACTTTTACATTCAAGTAAACAGAAAGCAATACTTAGTTGAAAAACTTACATCACAACTTTGGTACAAGATAGGGTAAATAGTTCTAACCTTTTCTAATAGTTCTAACTTTTTCTAAAGGTTAAAGTAAAACCACACTGTCTGCAGAGTAAGAGCTTATGTTCTCAAATGTTTTATTTTTTTAACTGGAGAAACCAATCTTTGTATTTCTTACTGTGTAGCCTCCACTGAGAAAAAGATTGATATTGAAGCAATCAAAGAAAAGGTAAAGAATGCGAAGAAGAAGAAATTAGGAGCACTCCCTGAGGAAGAAGTAAAGTTAAAAATGGCAGCAGATGAAAAGAAAAAAAAGAAAAAGAAGTAATTCACCACCCAAGATGTTTACTTGTCACCTCTGAACTTGTGACCTCTAATGAACATTTTTACACTCTGAAGATGGGAGATTTTTTGCTGTCAGTATAATGTGGACAAGAAAAGACTAAGTAAATGATCATTCTCTTTTCCTAAGTACAGTTTAATTAGAGGACCTACAATAGCTGTACAAGCTTGGCGAGGTTGGTGAAGAAAATCTGTGCTACTGTGTTGTTTGATGTAGTAAGAGAATGTATTTGGATAATATCCATCTGTCTAAAGGAGGAGTTTAATGTGGAGTGTTAAACATTTGGGCCAGATAACTCTGGGAAGGTTAAAGCTCAAGGTAATTCTGTAAAAGACTACCAGACAATATGCAGCCTCAAGTTGTGGTGATAACGTTTGCAAAGCAGGCAAGATTTATTACTATATAATGCTTTTATTTTTGTAAAAGCTGATTTTTTTTGTGTGTGTCTTGTCTCAATGTTAATAAACGATTTTAATACAATGTTCTGAAACCTTAGTTAATCTGCTGCACAACCTTCATTGTGTTGTCCAGGAAACCACTGATAAACTGTCATTTATTAGCATTATCGTGATGGGTTTTTACACAGAATATGGTACAAAGCAAGTGTCTTTACACAGAGATTGTGCTGCAGGGAAAGCAAAAAGTTGTGTTATTTACCTTTAAATATATTCTTAGTTTAGTTCCTTCTTGCAAGAATATGTTAAAAAAAATGTGTTCCTATTTTTTTTTTTTTTGGCACTTGCCCTATTTTAAAGGAAGTTTAGAGGTTTTTCAATTTCCCGAAACAGTGAAATATGATGAAATAAAGTGCACCAGCAGAGCAGATGTTGCTTATTTCATAGGTCTGGGATTAAAGAAACAAATGTATTGAGGGAGAGATAGAGCCACACTAATGTTATGATTTTGAGTGCCTTTGCTAGGGTTTGGAATTTTGATCACTGCACATGCAGTGGAAATGGTTCTTCTAGAAGGATGCAGCTCAATGCCTTTTAGTGACCTTTTATTTGAAACTAGTAGGTGAAAACACATCCCTTTTTTTGTTTGATAGATGCCACATTGTAAAGTTTGGGCGTTTAATCCCCCTATGCCCGCAGGTTTTTAAGGGAAGGTCTTTCTTAGGATTTCCTAAGAGCTGCTTAAGTATATAGTTAAATGAAACTGTTAACATTTTGAACTTTCAAGTCTCTGCATTGCTTCTGTTTCTTCTGGAGACCACACCGCAATTAAGCAGGAGAGAACTCCTGCTGAGCTCATTTTAAGCTCTGCGGACACAGCAGTGTGTCTGGTTCCATATCTTGCCTTCTTCTTTCCAGTAGCAGGACACTACCCCACATGGGGGGCAGAGACTGCCCTGCAAAGTCTGCTGTGGAGCCCTGTGCAGGAGGAGTACCCACACATTACGTCCTGCTGCCCAGGTGCCACTTGACAGCTGATTTTTAGTTGGGACTTTGCAGTACATGGAACTTGAGGCCTGGGTTTCACACAAGAGTGTCTGTGAGTGCTGTCTTGGCTATGGAGGCTCCAGCAGTCACCAAAGATGTGTTTATATATAAAGATATATCAAGCATGAAATTTGTAATTTTGTCCCCAGACATATTTGCATTTTGAAAAATTATTCAAGGAATGTTGTGATATTGAAATGATTCTAGTATAAGAGTACTAGCAGATAATGATCTGGAAGTGTAATGTGAGAAATGTTGGGTCCCAGTTCCAGTGTTTTCAGTTAAAATCCATGCCAGTAGTAAGGTCAGGGTCAGGAGTGGGCATGCAGAAACACTGACAGGTATTGTGGTGACAGTACTGCAGAAGTGAAGGGGTGAAGGGAACTTCCCCCACAGCAGTGTGTGCAGAGGGACAGGGTGCAGAAGCTTCTAAAAGTGTAGACAGGGATTGCTGTGGTCCAGCTGTGAGTTTGTGCAGCTCTGCTGCTTCCAGACTCTGCTGGAGCTGGGTGACTGTGCTTGGTAGAGACATACTGAGCTGAAGGCAGCAGCTGTCCCCACAGCCTTCTGCCTACTCCAGATGTGCAGGTTCCAGGAGATTTGTTCTTTGGCAGTTGTTGAACCAAACTTGTAATTATGGGCACAGTGTGATTTTATTTGGAGTTCTATGTTTCCCAGTATTGTTTCTAGTGTTGTGCAAGTTGGAGCTGAATCTGCGTTTATTTTGTGCACCAGCAGTTAAGCTTCAGGTCATGTTGCAAATTCATGACTGCCATACACAGGAATCAGGAAATAACAATTTATTGTTTGAAACAGCAGTAAAACCCCTATACTGAAAAAAATAAAAAACCACAGCAGGAAAGATTGCAGTGATACATAACCATGTAAACACAGGTGAAACTGTTTAGGCACAGATGCCATGAGTTTAAAAACAATTTCTGAGCAAAGCAAAGTACCAATGGCAAGTGCTCTGTGAGACTGGGAAGTGTGCTGCCTGCCCCAGGATGCAAATGCCAGAGTTCACAGGGATCCAAAAATTCCTTTAAAAAAAATTAAATTATACAGGCAACTCTGCATCTTGCTGTAGGAGTGCCCAAGGTAAGAGTGCAATAGGAATGAGACAGGTGCATACTCTGCCTGTGCTTTGGCTGTGGGCTGGGGCCTGGCTCTGGGGCTGGACACTCTCCAGCCCTTCCTAAAGTGTGTTGGGCAGCTGCCTGCACCTTAGTGTGCTGCCTGGACAATGTGCCCCCATACCCACCAGATCACATGCACACTGCTCCACTTTAAAAATATTTTTAACTTTTTAACTTTTAAAACAATTTTAACATCTAAATCTATTTTAACTTTTAACTGGTTCTGAGCAATGAGAAAGCTGCTTGATCAGTGCTTCTAACTACGACCTGCAATGAAGGTGTTATTTCTGTACTTGTAAATCACATTGCAAACGATGTCTCTACCAATGTTTGTGCTGCCTGTAACTTATGTGAATGGAAGAGATGAGTTGAGCCAAGTGCTCTTGTGGTCTTCTACATGTGTGCTACCCACTGGCAGGTACTAGAGACCAATATTTTGGTAAGAGCCAGGCGGCCACAAATGTCAGTATAAAGAGTATTAATCTTAAAGCAATAATGGAGATGCAGAACTCATCACACGCAGGCCTGTCCCAGTCTGGTTGCCACCTGGTATTCTCTGTAAACAAAACAATTCACTTGTTTTCAAGTATAACTGCAACAAGGGCAACAAAAGGTAACAATAATTCCAATGGTACTTACCAACGACTTTGTCACGCTCTTCATTTTCTGGAGAGAGAAAAGAAGTAAACAGAAGCACACTTATAATTTAGAAACAATTTGACTCTAACCAAAAGGGAATGAAATGTGAGCATCACAATGGGCTTATAAATACAGCTGATGTGTTTCTTCTCAGGAAAAAGCAAAGACCTGCTGACTCTGGGAGAGCCCTGCAATGACTCTCAGGACTCTGGTGAGGAGTGGTTTATCACACTTTTTTGACTTCTATAACCAGTGGCTGGTGTAGAAAGGACTCTCTCCTGGGTGTGCTTCCCAAGATCACTGATTTTTGCCTTGTGGCCTGTGTTTTGAGAGCCTGCAACTAACATTAAACAGCTCTGTGAATCCAAGACTCCCTTAAATTCCTTAGGTACTGATGTTTTAACAGCATCTTCCCACTCCTTTTAGTTCACCAAAAGTTAGAGTGCTGGGGTAAAGTGTGACCATACCCTCAGCTCCCCACAGGCCAATGGCTACAGCACAGTGCCTTGTCTTTATGGAAATTTCAGTTCTCCTTCCCTCCTGACTCCATGCAGCCATTAAAAAGACAAGTGCAGGCATATCAGGAAGGCCGTCAGACTTGAGTTGAGCACTGCATCTCCATGAATGCACTTGCATGTCAGCCTTGTTCTCTCCCAGTGCTTAGGGGAAAGCAGATGGCCTGGCTGATGGTCATTGGAGTGAGCAGCTTTGGCAGGGCCATGGCTGCTCTCCCCACCTGCAGTGGCATGGCAGGGGCAAAGCTTGATTGGAACTGCACCAGCTCAAGCCACAGCTCACACATCAGGTGTGGATAACCTGGAGCCCCCAGGACAGGTATCCCATTCTCATAAATTTCAGTTTCCGCAAGCAGTAATTTCTGGCAGGGGTAACAACTTTAAACTGCAGCCACCATATCTCCTGTAACACACCCTCCAGCACCTGAAGAGCAGACCCCTCTCATCACTCCCCAGGGTAGAAAATAGGCTCCTGCCCTCATCCCTTCTCTTTATGTACCACTACCCACTTGGCTTCTGACTGCAGGTTTTCAGCCTATATTTAGGAACAGGAGAGTTCTGTGCCTGCCTCCTGCCACTATCTTTTGTGTGCTCTTTCCCTTTCTACACATGCTTGGGGAGGATGTCTGGTTGTCTTCTACTTACGACACAACGTCATGGTACACGTCTCACCACCGCACTCGCTGCACGCTGCTCCCGTCTTGTATGGTTGCACTGGGTAATTCCCACTGCGAAGGAAAACACCACTGCTGTCAAACAGCCCTCGGGAAGATGGCAATACCTACTGCTAATTAGGTTTTAACCTGAGTTCTGCTTCACTTGTGTTGATAGAATGATGGGGGTTTTTTTCAAGAGTTCCATCTGAGTGCCCTATGCCCAAGACATTCAGAGAAACAGAAGAGATTAGGTGTAATGGGACACCCTGTTTAGGAATTTGGAGACAGCAGCATTGCAAACCTGGGAATTAAAGCACTCTCAGAGTTGGGTAATTTGTGCATGGAGACTCTGGAACCTCACAGCTGGCTCTGGCTATAGAAGCAAGAGCAGGTTCAGTTACCGTGTATGTATGTGTGTATTCAGCCTTGAAGAGGAAAGCTCTGGTGTTGGAGAATCATAGGTGGTGATTTCATCCATTTGTTGTTTAATATTTTGGGAGTGATGTAGGACTCTCTCCTGCTACCTCCCTCTGCCAGTGGTGTGAGTGGGACCAACTACCTCTGCTCAGGCTGATACTGCACCAAACACAGCTTCAGTGCTTTGCTCAAAGTATGGCCAAAGCAA